GATGAATTGCATACTTGAGAATGATTAAGGTGGTGAGTTTTATGTTATGTATAGCTTACCACGATAAAAAATTTAATATTAAAAAGTATGGTCCAGTTCTCACTCATAAGTGGACCCTGAACATTTATCATAATACTATATGAAAGGGATTGGCAGTAGCAGGTCGCTGCTGGGGGGGAGGGTACATAACACTAATAAGGGTATCTGATCCCAAACCAGGTGAAGTGAGGGCCAATGGGAGGCCCCAACTTCATCTGTATGATGACCACTTATGTACCTAACACTGAATCATACCCCGATCTTTAAAATTAAAATTAAAATAAATTTTAAAAGGTCTGTTCCAGCCAAGTGTGGTGGCTCACGCCTGCAATCCCAGCACTTTGGGAGGCAGAGGGAAGAGGATTGCCTGGGCAACTTGGTGAGATCTTGTCTCTGCAATAAACCAAAAAATTAGCTGGGCATTGTGGCACATGCCTGTCATTCCAGCTACTTGGAAGGCTGAGGCGGAAGGGTTGCCTGAGCCCACTAGGTTGAGGTTGTGGTAGCCGGGAGCATGCCACTGCACTCCAGCCTGGGTGACAGAGTAAGACTCCAATTCAAAAAGTACACACATACACACATATATATTCCAAAGAAAAAAATTAAAGAAATATTGAAAACCAAAATGACAGAAGAGAATAATACAAAAAAAAAAAAAAAAAGGGAGAAAGAGGACTTTTTTTTTTTTGGAGTCTCACTGTCACCTGGGCATTGTAGCATGCTCATGGCCACCGTAGCCTCGACCTGCTGGGCTCAGGCGATCCTTCTGCCTCAGCCTTTTAAGTAGCTGGAACTACAGGTGTGCGCCACCATGTCCAGTTAATTTTTTTTTTAATTTATTGTAGACACGTGGTTCTCCCAAGTTGCCCAGGCTGGTCTCGAATCCCTGGACACAGACAATCCTCTTGCCTCCACCTCCCAAAGTGCTGGGAGTGCCCAACTGAAAGTTTTTAAAGAACCAAATAAAACTCCTAAAAATGAAAAATATAATCATCGAAATTAAAAACTCAGTGAATGGATGAGATGGAAGTGTAAACACAGTTGAGGAGAGAATTTGTTTCCTAGAAGCTAGATCTGAAGAACTCACTAGGGACACAGATAAAAAGGTGGAAAAGAGGAAAGAGAGGTGTAGTAGGCAGATGTTCACGTCCTAAGCTCAGGAACTTTTGATAGGTTATATGGAAAAGAGGGAATTAAGGTTGCAGATAGAATTAAGGTTGCTAATTAGCTAGCCTTGAGGTAGGGAGATTATCCTGGATTATCCAGGAGGATCCAATGTAATCATCATGGTCCTTATAAGTGGAAGAGAGAGAGAGAAGAAAATAAGAAGAGAGATGAGAAGACAGTGTAAGAAAACTTGGCCCAACGTTGCAGTTTTTGAAGATGAAAGAATGGCGCAATGAACCAAGAAAAACAGTCAGTTTAAAAGCTGGGAAAAGCTGGGCAAAGCTGGGCTCGGTGGCTCAGCCTGCAATCCCGCGCCTTTGGGAGGCTGAGGTGAGTGGATTGCCTGAGCCCGTGGGTTCAAGACCCACCTGGGCAGCAAGACCTCATCTCTACAATAAATCAAAAAATCAGCCGGGCGTGGTAGCGCGCGCCTGTAATTCCGGCTACTCGGAAGGCTGAGGCGGAAGGATTGCCGGAGCCCAGGAGGCGAGGCTGCGGTGGCTGGAAGCGGCCACTGCACTCCAGTCTGGGTGACCGAGTGAAACTTCAACTCAAAAAAAAAAAAAAAAAAAAAGCTGGAAAAGACAAGAAAATAGATTCTTCTCTAGATCCTCCAGAAGGAATGCAGTCTTGCTGACACATTAATTTTAGCCCAGTAAAACCCATTTCAGACTTCTGGCCCACAGACCTGTAAACTAATAAATTGTGTTTCTTTAAGCTGCTAGGTTTGCGACATGTTACAATAGCAATAACACGCATGTAAAATAGAAGAAAATCCTCAAGGATATGTCTAATAAGAGAAGGAATAGAGGAAATATAATATTTTTTAAATGGCTGAGAATTTTCCAGAATTGAAGAGATGACACTTCAGACTCAGGGATCACACCAAGGTTTGAACACGATCACTATAAACTGTCTATGACCATACACATTGTAGTGAAATATCTAAGTCTAAGAGAAGTCTTAAAAGCAAACCGAACCTCAAGCATAGGCAAGAACAAGATAATCAGAATGCTCTTTCCAGGAACGTTACAAATATCAGTGGTCAACCAATGCTATCAGTATTCAAAGTTAGACTCTAGGTGTGGCTTGTGTTTCTTTAATCTTGGCATTCCTGGGTCCCAGTACATGTTCAGAGGAGAATTTGGACAAAGAAGGTGGAAGGAGGCTTGTTCCACAGGGAGAGATTTCCCTTCTACCTTGTTCTCAGTCTTTTGCTTCAAGGTAAGAAAGGGGCAACGACAAAGGTAGAAAAGGGAGCCCTCTCTGGTAGAACATCTAGAAACTTCCTTCAGATTCTGACTCCTAGAAATTATCTAAGATGGGCATCATTTTTTTGTTTGTTTTTATAACTGTGTTACATGATGCCCCAACAGACTTTCCTTCTCTTAAAGATGGAAAATCGTCTTCCAGGTACATGCCACAGAAGAGTACATCTATTGTTTCTCCCATGAACCATCCACAATTGTCCTTTTCTTTTTTTTGAATTGGAGTCTCTCTCTGTCACCCAGGTTGGAGTGCAGTGACATGCTCACGGTCACCCCAGCATCAACCTACTGGGCTCAGGCAATCCTTCCGCCTCAACCTTCCAAGTAGCCGGAACTACAGGCACGTGCCACCATGCCCAGCAAATTTTTTGATTTATTGTAGCGATGAGGTCTCGCCAAGTTGCCCAGGCTGGTCTTGAATCCGTGGACTCAGGCAATCCTCTCAGCTTTGCCTCCCAAAGTGCTGGGATTATAGACGTGAGCCACTGTGCCTGACCTAATTGTCTTTTTTTCTATTTAGCTTTTATATCCTTCCATCTTTCTTCCCACGTGTGTAATTCTTTCTATCTACAGGTATGAAACCCATCCCATTGTAGCAAACTGCCCACCTGCTTTAGCCATAACTTCCCCATCCACCTACTGGATCCAAGGACTCTAGATTAGGTAAGATGCCAGAGGACAGCAGGTCAAGGGTGAAAATAGATCATGCCTCTCTTCCAGGAGGTTAACATGATAGAGTGGCAAGAACATAGGATTTGGAGACAGATGGGCCTGAACTTGGTCCCTCACTTTTCAAGTTGTGAAAACTTGGGTGAGTTGCTTAACTTCTCTGAGTTCAAATTTCCTCATCTGTAAAATAGGACCTACCTTGCAGGGTTGTGAAGATTCAATGAGAGAAAGTAGGTAGCACAATGCCTGGCATTTAATAAGGGTCAATAAACGTCATCTGTCCCCCTTAGGTTGTCACATGACTGGATAAGGGAGCACAGGAGGCAACTGAGTCACAAGTGGCTTTAAAGGCCAGTACAGGGAAGAGTTACACATTGTACATTTGATCTAGGCAGTAAAAGGTTTTTTAAAAGCTCCTCTGGGCACTTGCAGACAGAAATCGACACATGAATATTCACTGTTCATAGAACAACTCAAGAATTTGCCTGGAGAGCCCTGTGACTTCCGAAATGGATAAGGCTTGATGTTCTTGGCACAGAGGTCCTCACCCATCTCGCTCATTCCAGGTTGTTGCTTCTCCAACAAATTTCCATCAGTAGAAAATTGGAATCATTGTTAGTCAGAAAAGTAGGGGAAGGCAATACCTCAAAAGCTTCAAGCTAATAAATATGTAGAATTATGTATCCATTAGAATAAAATCAAAACTAGAAAGCCTCAAACTAGAAAGCTGATGATAGGGCTGAGCAGCAAAAAGGAGGGAGAAGGAAGGCTGAGCAGTCAAAGTGTAAATCAGTGTGCCCTCCTTGGGACCCTGGGACTATAATCCTATGTGAGGACTATCACTGTTCCAGGGCTCAGTTTGCATAAAGATTTGGGCATGCTTTGCATGGAGGCAGAAATATTAGAATGAAGACTGGAGCCCTAACTCAGCATACCACATTAGCTTCCATCATTTGCATTCCATCCTGGCCCATCCTCCCAGGCCTCGGCAGGAAGCACCCTGCATCTGAACCCCTCTTGGTAATTGGTGATCCCCTCCCCTAATCTTCATCTCATCACTGGGGATGCAGCAGCAGCAGACAGACCCGGGTTCGGATCAAGTTCATCTTCTGCCTTTTATTACCTGAGTTTGAGAAGTTACTTCCTCTTACTGTACGTCAGTTAACTTGTTTATTACAAGAGAATTAAAAAACAGTATCTGAGCCAGGCACAGTGGCTCAAGCCTGTAATCCCAGCACTTTGGGAGGCGGAGGCAAGAAGATTGCCTGAGCCCACAGGTTCAAGACCAGCCTGGTTAACTTGGCGAGACCTCATCTCTACAATAAATAAAAAAATTAGCTGGGCATGGTGGCCCGTGCCTGTAGTTCCAGCTGCTTGGAAGGCTGAGGTGGCAGGATCGCCAGAGCCCAGCAAGTCGAGGCTGCGGTGGCCGGGAGCAGCCACTGCACTCCAGTCTGGGTGACAGAGTGAGACTCCAACTCAAAACAAAAAACAAACAAACAAACAAACAGTATCTGCTTGATAGGAGATTGGGAGGATCAAATGAGGTCGTCCATTTGAAGGGTTTAGAATATACTTGACATATAGTCAATGCTTAATGAATAGTGCTGTCATTATTATCACAGGCTACCTAGGCCTTTCCTTGGGGCCTCTCTCATGTAGGGAACATTGGGGTTTTCTCTCTCATTTCATGGGTCTGATGTTCACTACAGGAAGGGGCAGTACTTTCACCATAAATGCTCAGGATTTGGCCAGCATGGGGTGAATCCCACTGCTCTGGATTCAGTGTTTGACAGAAAAGCCCGCCGTCCAGTCACCAACCTCAGTGTACCTACCAGAGTCAACCTCTCCTTCACGATGTCTGCCATCCTAGATGTGGTGAGTTCTGACTTCTCACACACTCCTTGGTGTCCTTAACTATTTCCCAACCCCTGGCAAAGTGATCCTTAAAGTCCTTAACCACATTGCAACCTCCTCCGCCATTGCTATGCAGCATTTACCTTGCATGGGAATCTCAAAGAAGCTCTGTGCAGTTCAGCAGAGTGAAGTACAACAGCATGTGGAAGAGAATCTTCTTTCCCTGGCTGCTTGCCAGTGTCCAGGATCTACCCCCAGAGGTTCTGATTGGATGAAACCCAGGCATGGTTATTTTTAAGCTCCCCAAGTTATTCTAAGATACAGGCAGGGTTGAGAAGCACTGCTTTATTCCAGTCCTGCTGTGAACTCCTCTGCCCACGGCCTAACACATCTGTTTTGATCAAACTTTTGTCCTTGGCCTGTAATATTGACCTTGATCACAGCATTCCCTTTATATACCTTGGGGTGTGGAGGACAAAAATGGGAAAGGGGGTGAGGAACAGACTTCTTATTGGCAACATGCTGGAAACAGGAAATTCTTTTGGCAGGATGAACAATTACAGCTCTTGTCATCATTCCTGTGGCTGGAAATGGTATGGCCAACACTTTATTCTCTCCCTGCATTTAGAGTCAGAAAGGATTTTAAACAAAGATATAATAATCATGACTTTTTATGTATCAAATATTATTTTAAAACATATGAAGGAGAAACTGAGAAATCCACCTTTCAAAGATCAGACAGAAGAGTAAATGTATGGTGATTTTTAGCAGTACAATTAAGATTCTTAATCTAATAAACATACCAAACTTTGTACCAATGAATGTGCATAATCTTTTCGGATACACATAGGGTATTCCCCAATGCTGACGAAATTTTTAACCACAAAAATGTCTGAACATAATTGAGAAAAAGTCATCTCTGACTACCATATAAGAAAATAGAAACTGTCCGGGCTTGGTTGCTCAGCCTGCAATCCCAGCGCTTTGGGAGGCCGAGGTGAGTGGATTGCCTGAGCCCGCAGGTTCAAGACCCACCTGGGCAACTTGGCGAGACCTCATCTCTACAATGAATCAAAAAAAATTAGCCTGGCGTGGTAGCGCATGCCTGTAATTCCAGCTACTTGGAAGGCTGAGGCAGAAGGATCACGGGAGCCCAGCATGTCGAGGCTGCGGTGGCTGGGAGCAGTCACTGCCCTCCAGTCTGGGCAACCAAGTGAGACTCCAACTCAAAACAAAAAACAAAAAAAGAAAATAAATAAAAAGAAAACATTTTAAAAAAGAAAATAGAAACTAACAACAAAAGTGTAGTCCCCAGAAAGTCTTGTTTCTTGGGAATTTAAAATTAAACTTCCATACATGTGCAGGTTTGTTTTTAAAAATTAAGCTTCCAAATATTGGGTGCTAAAAAGAAAATAAAACAATTAAATAGAAATTATGGAGTAATTAGAAATAAAGATCATACATATGAAAATCTTTGGGATGTAGCCAAAACATAAAACGCAGTGGAAAATGTATATCTCAAGTGCATTGATTAGAAAACAAGGTATGTGGAAGAATGGGAGGAAAAGTAAGTAAATGGATTAAGTTTCCAACTTGAAAAGCCTACTTGGATGGAAAAAAGGATCAGGGGAAAGACAGTTAACAATCAACTAGGGCAGGCTCAGTGGCTCACGCCTATAATCCCAGCACTTTGGGAGGCCAAGGTAAGAGGACTGTCTCAGCCCACAGGCTCAAGACCAGCCTGGGCAACTTAGTGAGACCTCATCTCTACAATAAATCAAAAAATTACCCGGGTGCAGTGGCACATGCCTCTAGTTCCAGCTACTTGGGAGGCTGAGGCAGAAGGATCACCTGAGTCCAGCAGGTCGAGGCTGCAGTGGCTGTGAGTGTGCCACTGCACTCCATCCTGAGAGACAGAGTGAGACTCCAACTCAAAAAAAAAAACAAAAAACAAAAAAATCCCCAAAAAACCAAACAAAAAAAACATCACCTAACCTTCTCATAGTGTGGTTCCCAGTTCAGCAGCACTGGCTGATAGCACCACCTGGAAGCATATGAGAAACATACTCGATCCCAGGTCCCACATAGGGTGACCAACCATCCCAGCCTGCCCAAGACTGAGAAATTCTCAGGTTATGGGACATCCAATGCCAAGACCAGGATAGTTCCTGGCAAACCAGAATGAGTTAGTCACCCTACCTATTGAATCGGAATCTACATTTCAACAGGATCCCTACGTGTTTTGTAAGCACAGTGAAGTTTGAGAAGCTTCTCATACAAACTTTTATCTAATATGCATAGAAACCCCTGTTTTGGCTGTAGCCACAAACAGAAGCTGCTGATGCCAAAAGTGCCTTGACACTAGACAAGCCCACCCAGAGTTGGACAATCCTTAAAAACATTTTCCAGGGAAGGTGACCAGCCTTGGAAAAGAGAACTGGTCACCTCAGAGGCAAGAGAAGATAGTATATGGCACCAGTCAAAGATAGGAAGACCATTAAGCCTCTTGGCTTCAAAGAACCTAAGGGCTTGTTCAAGGTCTCCTTATTACAGAGACCAGTGGAAGATGACTAGAAGACAGTTAAAACCCCACTAGATCCTAATATATAATAATCTCTCTCTTGGCAGGTTCTACAGCAGATTATGAAACTGCATTCCATATAACTCCAGATCCCAGGGAAATATCAACAACATTACAGTTGACAAAATTCTTCCATATACCCTATTTTATTTGAAACTCACTGCAACTTATTTCACACTAAAGAAATTCTAGCTCAGAGAAATTGAGATACTGATCTTTCAACGCATTCTTACTGCAGAAAGGAAAGGATTTCACTAATCATCAGTAATTACCCACTAAAGGAGGCAAACAGAGGGATCAAAATTTATGAAGAAAGCCGGGCTCAGTGGCTCAGCCTGTAATCCCATGCTTTGGGAGGCTGAGGTGAGGGGATTGTCTGAGCCTGTGGGTTCGAGACCCACCTAGGCAACTTGGTGAGACCTCATCTCTACAATAAATAAAAAAATTAGCCGGGCGTGGTAGTGCACGCCTGTAGTTCCAGCTACTTGAAAGGCTGAGGCGGAAGGATGGCCAGAGCCCAGCAGGTTGAGGCTGCAGTGGCCGGGAGTGGCCACTGCACTCCAGTCTGGGCAACTGAGTGAGACTCCAACTCAAAAAAAAAAAAAAGAAATGTATGAAGAAATGGACGCGGGGAGGTTTGATTTTATCTGTAATTCTAATTTATTGAGGAAAAAGGCAAATTTATTAAAATACTGATTCCACACAAAGCCAGGTGGTTGATATACAGATGTTTGTTCTATTATTTTGTATATTTTCTATTTGCTTGAAATATTTCATAACTTCTTTTTTAAAAAAATGAAAAAAAACTCCAGTTCATCTCAGGCTTTCACCTCTCCCCACTACTGGGATCTAGGTCTGGGATAACCCGTTTATCAGCTGGAACCCAGAGGAGTGTAAGGGCCTTACGAAGATCAGCATGGCAACCAAGAACCCGTGGCTCCCAGACATTTTCATCGTTGAGTTGTGTGTAACAAGGGCTGGGGCAAGTCAGAGGGAAGTCCCATCTCCTGGTTTCAGCACAGACCACAGTTTACCACTGGGGCCACCACACATGGTCTTTAAATGATTAAGAAACAACCACAGAGATAAGAAGAAAAACCACAGCATCTGTCTCCTACCTCATCTCTCTTCCAGCATGGATGTGGGTAAGACCCAAAAGACCTCACAGCATATGTAAGTAATGAAGGTCGCATCAAGTATAAGAAACCCATGAAGGTGGCCAGTATCTGTAACCTGGACATCTTCTACTTCCCCTTTGACCAGCAGAACTGCACACTCACCTTCAGGTCCTTCCTCTACACAGGTGAGTGTCAGTGGGTTCTCAAAGATAGGGTAAATAACAACCAACAAGACCACAGAAAATAAAATACTAAGAAATATGAGTAAATGGTGACCAAGGAGTATGAACGAAGCAAAAAATAAGGTTCTGTGCATGGTAAAGTATTTTCCATAAAGGCAGAACCCAAGTCTACCCTATTTGTTACCATCCCAAGCCTCTAGCAAAATTCCTGGCATATGGTAGGCAGTCAAAACATATGTTGAAAGCAGGGCTCGGTGGCTCAGCCTGTATCCCGCGCCTTTGGGAGGCTGAGGTGAGTGGATTGCCTGAGCCCGTGAGTTTGAGACCCGCCTGGGCAGGCGAGATCTCATCTCTACAATAAATCAAAAAAGCCGGGCATGGTAGCGCATGCCTATAATTCTGGCTACCTGGAAGGCTGAGGTGGAAGGATCGCCGGAGCCCAGCAGGTTGAGGCTGCGGTGGCTGGGAGCGGCCACTGCACTCCAGTCTGGGTGACAGAGTGAGACTCCAACTCAAAAAAAAAAAAAAAAAAAACCAAAAACATTTGTTGAGTGGAAAAATAGAAAAAAAGTGCAGTTAAGACACCAGGAAATGATATCCTTGGAAAATGATTTGGATGGTTCTCACTTTCAGTGGATAACATGCTGCTGGGAATGGAGAAAGAAGTGTGGGAAATAGCAGACACGTCCCGGGACATCGTTTAGACCCATGGAGAATGGGAGCCTCTGAGCATCAACAAGGCCACCCCGAGAATATCTGTGGGAGCCAGCCTGTATGATCAGATCGAGTTCTACGTGAGCTCGGAGGCCCTTGCTTTTTCTTTCCTCCCTTGCATCTACCCTTGTCTAGAGTCTCCACCAAATGGGGATCTCCCAAGTTTCAGGGTCTCTCAGTCTTACCACTTCTGCCTGAGGCCAGAACCCTCTCTCCTGGCTGTCTGTTCAGCCTCACTCTCCTTCCTAAAGCTCATGGCTCTGGCCTAACTCTCTCTTGGCAGGTTCTACCCCAGATTATGAAGCTGCATTCCACATAGCTCCAGACCCCAGGGGACATCAGGCCAATGAAAACGACAGAGACAGAAATAATCACTGCCGTTTCTGGATTTGGGATTTCCTCTGACCCCATATCCACTTCTCTTTCTCTCCTCCCTACCAGGTGGCCATCAGGCGTAGGCCCAGCCTCTATGTGATAAACCTTTTGGTACCCAGTGGTTTTCTGGTTGCCATTGATGCCCTCAGCTTCTACTTGCCAGCCGAGAATGAGAATCATGCCCTGGTCAAGATAACACTTCTGCTGGGCTACAACGTCTTCCTGCTCATGATGAATGACTTTACTCCCCACCAGTGGCACCCCCCTCATCAGTATGCCCCCTCTGGCCTCTGGGGAGAGAAGAAAGGGAGGGAGGTAGACTGGGAAAGGAGGCTCTGTGCCTGCCAGGGTGTAATTGGAAGAGAGGAGAGAAGTTCTAGGTGGAGCCTCTGGCCCTCACACAGGCTTTCCCTCCAGGTGTCTACTTTGCCCTGTGCCTGTCCCTGATGGTGGCCAGCCTGCTAGAGACCATCTTCATCACCTACCTGCTGCACCTGGCCACCACCCAGCCCCCACCCATGCCTCGGTGGCTCCACGCCCTGCTGCTGCACTGCACCAGCCCAAGGAAATGCTGCCCCACTGGGCCCCAGAAGCGAAATAAGGGCCTGGGACTCACCCCCACCCACCTGCCTGATGAGGGAAGTCAGCGTTACCCACACTTCCTCTTCCCATACCTTCTCTTCTCTGCTCCTGCCTCCTCCTTCCCTGTCACCATCCCCTTGTGGGTGACCTTCACAGCCCATGGCTGAGTCTCTGTCTTTCTGCAGGTCTGAAGGAGCCAGAGGTGCTGGCAGGGCAGATGCCAGGCCCCAGAGAGGCGGAACCGACTGGAAGCTCAGGATGGCCAAGGGCCCAGCAGGAACAGGAGGCCCGGGAGCAGCCCTCCGTGGAGCTGTGGGTGCAGTTCAGCCACGCGATGGACACCCTGCTCTTCCGCCTCTACCTGCTCTTCATGGCCTCCTCCATCCTCACTGTCATCGTCCTCTGGAACACCTAGGCAGGTGCCTGCCTGTGAACCCCAGTCTGGAGCTTCTCTTGCCTCCAGGAGCCAGCCAGATCTTCACCCTTTCCTGAGTTCTGACTATCATGTCCCCAAAGATCGACAAGTCCCTGCATGTACCCCAATCCAGCCCTGCTGATCAGTCCCATCCAATCCCAGACACTTCCCCTGTGTTCCTGCGTTCTGTCGGCTTCCCTGGTCCTATCATGTGTTCTAGTTCAGCTCATTAACTGACCCAAATGAATAATCTTGCAGAGATTTCTGGTTCTTTGTCATGTCATGGGGTAGAAATGTACCTACCCAGGACTGATAGCATCACATATCACCTGTGCATCTCTTTGTCTGTGATAGAGCTTTGATGTCATAAGGAATGCGTCTCTCCCCTTAAGTCCAATGTGACAACTGTCCTGTGTGAGGAGTTTTAATTCTCTCAGGCGCTTTCAAGTTAGTTCTTTTTTATTCATCTTTTTCATTATCTTGTACTGACTTCATCTTAACATTCTCCCAATTTATTTTTTCTTTTTATTCTTTTTCTTATTTTTGAAGTTGAATTCTCCGTTGAGCATTCTCAGTCTTTCTATAAATTTTACTCATAATGGCTTTAGCTCTATCCCGTAGGTTTTAGAATAAGGTGTTCTCCTCTCCGTTACTTTGTAGACAATTCATAATTTGTTTTTATTTCCTCTTTGATCTAAGAGTTATTTGGGAGAGGGTGTCTTAATATCTATCAATAAGAGGTTTTCGTTATTGTTATCTTTTCAGTGTTAATTTCCAGCTTCTTGGTTTATGATCAGAAAGATGATCTGTACACTAAAAACTTTTGGGATTTGAGCCGGGCTCAGTGGCTCAGCCTGTAATCCCGCGCCTTTGGGAGGCTGAGGTGAGTGGATTGCCTGAGCCCGCGGGTTCGAGACCTGCCTCTACAATAAATCAAAAAATTAGCTGGGCATGGTAGCGCATGCCTGTAATTCCGGCTACTCGGAAGGCTGAGGCGGAAGGATTGCCGGAGCCCAGCAGGTCGAGGCTGCGGTGGCCAGGAGCAGCCACTGCACTCCAGTCTGGGCGACAGAGTGAAACTCCAACTCAAGAAAAAAAAACTTTTGGGATTTATAAAGTTTTCTCCCAACTGAATGCATAATTGGCTCTCTAAAATATTTTGTTTCAGGACATTAAAAAAAGTTTATATTCTAAGCCAGGCTGGGCAACTAGGTGAGACCTCGTTGCTACAATAAATCAAAAGATTGGCCAGATGTGGTAGTGCATGCCTGTAGTTCCAGCTACTTGGAAGGCTGAGGCGGAAGGATTACCTGAGCCCAGCAGATCAAGGCTGCAGTGGCTGTGAGTTTGCCACTGCACTCCAGCCTGGGTGACCGGGTGAGACTCCAACTGAAAAAAAAAAAAAAAAAATGTTCTCTCTGGGCTGGGCGTGGTGGTTCATACCTGTAATCCCAGCATTTTGGAGGCAGAGGTGAGAGGATTGCCTGAGCCCAGAGGTTTGTGCCCAGTCTGAGCAACTTGGCAAGACCTTGTCTTTACAGTAAATCAAGAAAATTAGCCAGGTGTGGTGGTGCATGCCTGCAGTTCTATCTACTTAGAAGGCTGAGGTGGAAGGAGTGCCTGAACCCAGCAGGTTGAGGCTATGGTAGCCATGATGCAAATACATACACATACACGTGCACACACACACATGCACATACACACAAAAACAGTTAGATAGAAGGAATAAGTTCTAGTAGTCAATAATACAGTAGGAAAATTATGGTTAACAATTCATTGTATATTTCAAAATAGCTAGAAGACAAGAATTGCAACGTTCCCAACACAAAGAAAAATGTTCTTTCTTCCCCCCAACATCCATCCACCATCAGTAAAATTCTTTTGATGGTCAATTGTTTTAGTTTTTGTTTACCTGAAAAAATATTTATTTTACTCTTGTTCTTGAAGGATAATTTTTCACTGGGTACAGTGGCTCACACCTGTAATCCTAGCACTTTGGGAGGCGAAGGTGAGAGGATTGCCTGAGTCCAGGGATTCGACACCAGCCTGGGCTACTTGGTGAGACCTCATCTCTACAATAAATACAAAAAATTAGCCGGGCATGGTGACACGTGCCTGTGGTTCCAGCTACTTGGAAGGTTGAGGCAGAAGGATTGCCTGAGCCCAGCAAGTTTGTGCTGCGGTGGCCATGAGCATGCCCCTCCACTCCAGCCTGGGCAACAGAGTAAGACTTCAACTCAAAAAAAAAAAGGAAGATAGTTTTTCTGGGACAACAACTCCAAGTTACATTATTTTCTCTCAACACTTTGAAGAAGTCATGCCATTATCTTCTGGCTTCCATTTTTGCTGTAGTGAAGTCGATCTAAGTTTTGTTCCCTTTTAGGTAATATTGTGTATATTTTCTTTCTGGCTGTTTCTAATCTTTTTGTCTTTGGAGTTTTGCCACCAAATACTGTCCAGACATTGGGGAAACTTTGTTTCTTCTGGTCAACCCTTTAGAAGAGAGTTCCCATAGCAGAACTCTTGGTACCTGGTGATGCGTTTCTATGGCAACCAATCATTCCTGAGTGCCAGGGACTGAACAGTCTCCCTCAGTCCAGGATGCAGGACTTTCAGTGCTAAAAGTGAGACAGTCCTAGGAAAATAAGAACAGGTGGCCACCCTACCTCCTTCCCCTTCTTCAGACCACAGCCTTCCCACTCCTGGAGCACACACGTTCCTCAGGGAAGGCTGGATGAAGAGTAGACTATCACAGATTCACACTGTTCCTGCAATCCCTCCTCTCCCTGAATTCGAGACCCCGACGTTCAGGCTTATTCATTCAGCCACAGTTTTTATCTTCTGGAAGGTCGTCTCGGAGACCCTTTTGTCTTTTCCCAATCCAGTCTCGTTCAGGAACCTGAACCTCTCTTCAAGAGGGCTGGTCTGTACATGTCTAGATCTCAGAGTGGCCAGGTAAAATTATTTTCCGCTCTGAGCTCCATGAACATCGTGAATGTGGCTAGTTCCCACTTCACAGTACTGGATCCCGCTATATCAAAAGGTACCTCAGCAGTCTAGTAGTTAGTGAGGAAGTTGCCGCATAGCACAGAAATGACCTCGAGGGGGCGGTGTTGCTTAACGCTACAAACCACCCTTCTGCGTCTCCTTGCCCAGCCAAAGTAGTGCATTGTTAATGACTTTCTTGCTTTTGTTTTTGTTTTTTAGTCGGAGTCTCACTCTGTCGCCCAGGCTGGAGTGCAGTGGCACGCTCACGGCCACCCCAGCGTCGACCTGCTGGGCTCCGGCCATCCTTCCGCCTCAGCCCTCCGAGTAGCAGAAACTACGAGAGCGCGCTACCACGCACTGCTAATTTTTTGATTTACTGAAGAGACGCAGTCTCACCATGTTGCCCAGGCCGGTCTCGAACCCGCGGACTCAGTTAATCCTCTCGCCTCGGCTTGAGAAAACTGGTTTTTTGTAGGCCCTGTTGAAGAGACAAGACTCTAGTGATAGGAGCAAACTGGTGGAGCACTTGGAGGGTAATGTTGGGGCTTTTTGGACTTTACATTTGGGCTCACTTGTTGCTCAGTGATCAGAGCTGGTTGTTTCCTGCTATGAGTGTTGTTTATTTTTCTAGTTACTTTTGGGTTGGAGTCCCTGTTTTGAAAGTTAAAGGTTCTAAATATACTATGGGATAGCTGAGGTTTTTACTGTCCATGTCCTAACTTGGTAGAAAATGATGAGAAATAAACTCCTGAGTTCTTCCCTGTTCTCAGGATCACCTCCAGAGATATACCTAGTCCTGGGTGGTGTCCTGAATGGAATGTATCCTACCATTATTTTGACATATTTATAGGTAGAATCTAGGGAAGAAAAAAGTGCTGTTTAAAGTTAGTGAGAAGAAAACATATAGGAAAAGCTTCACAGCTTTGGATTTGGCAATGATTTCTTGGACATGATAACATAAGCACAGGCAACAAAAGAAAATCATAGATAAGCTAAACTTCATAAAAATGAAAAATTTTTGTACATCAAAGAACACTGTCAAAAGAATCAAAAGGTAGCCGGGTGTGGTGGTTCATGCCTGTAATCCCAGCACTTTGGGAGGCAGAGGTGAGAGGATTGCCTGAGCCCAGGGGTTTGAGACCAGGGCAACATGGTGAGAACTCTTCTCTACGATAAATGAAAAAACTAGCCAGGTGTATGGCTTGCACCTGTAGCTCCAGCTACTTGGAAGACTGAGGTGGAAGGATCGCCTGAGCCCAGCAGGTCGAGGCTACGGTGACCGTGAGCATGCCATTGCACTCCAACCGGGGTGATTGTGAGACTCTGACTCAAAAAAAAAAAAAAGAAGAAGAAGAATCAAAAGATAATCTACAGAATGGGAGAAAATATTTTCAATCATATATCTGATAAGAGATTGATATTCAGAATATGTTAAAAAAATTCTTGTAACTCAACAAAATCAGCCCAATTTAAAAGTGGGCAAAGGGGCCAGGTGTGGTGTCTCACACCTGTAATCCCAGGACTTTGGGAGGCCGAGGCAAGAGGATTGCTTAAGCCCAAGGGTTGGAGACCAGCCTAGGCAGCTTGGCAAGACCTTGGCTCTACAATAAATCAAAAAATTCGCCAGACATGGTGACATGCGCCTATAGTTCCAGCTACTTGGAAGGCTGAGGTGGAAAGATTACCTGAGCCCAGCAGGTCCAGGCTGTGATAGCCGTGAGCATGCCACTGCACTCCAACCTGGGCAAACAGAGTGAGACTCTGACTCAAAATAAATAAATAATAAAAGTGGACAAAGGACTTAGACATTTCTCCAGAGAAGACATGCGAATGGTCAATAAGCACATGAAAAGATGCTCGACATCACTAGTCACTAGGGAAGTACAAATCAAAACTATAATGAGAACACTTCATACCTGTTAGGACAGCTTTTATTTTTTTTTTAATAAAGAAAAAACAATGTGTCCATAAGGATGTGAAAAAATTGGAATCCTTGGGCACTGTTGGTGGGA